CATACCATCTATCATACCATGTATAGCATCATACCATGCTATACCATTGCTTCTGGGATGCTCAGACGTGTTGGTGAGAAAACCTGCTGGGCCTGAACACCTCTCTCTGCAACTGGATCCTGGACTTTCTGATGGCAAGACCACAGACAGTCTGGACATGACATTCAGCCCCTCACTGCCAGACAGCGAAATAGTTTTTTCCCCCAAGCCGTCAGACTCCTGAACACTCAGTGACTGGAATGACACACATACACACACACACACGCATACCTTCATACACGTCATTACCAAGCACTTATCTGCACAATCTCATACACACACACATGAACACGTTCATACACCAGGTTACTTTTTCCACATTTATGTTGCATTGTTGTGTCTGCACTGTCTTGTGTCTGCATCGTTCTGTTCTGTCTGGTGTTGCACTGTCTTTGTTTTGTATTTTTGCAATTTTGCACATCGCACTTTATGTAGTCCTGTGTTGATTGACTGTTACATATCATATATAGCACCATGGTCCTGGAGGAATGTTTGTCTCATTTCACTGTGTGCTTTACCACTGCACGTGGTTAGAATGACAATAAAGTTATTTGATTTGACCAGACTGGACCAGTTTGTTATGATGTAGAGAGAGCTGACATCAGCTAGGGCCACGAGCAGTGGGTAGTGACTGAAAGTTTGAGATCACAGATATATACAGAGGAAAAAAGCTTCCTCTATAGTTTGTCTAGACTCTCCCTTAGAGTTATAGTCTCCATATTGACAGGAGGGCTGAGACATCTGGATGCATTCTGGATGACTCCTTAGCAAGGTGTTCTGGGCATCTCCTATCAGGAGGATGCCCCAAGATCATGTCCTGTCTGACTAATGCTTTAACTAAGCTAGTGTTGTATCGATGATTTAGATCCATGTTGAGAAACTCCTGTTCCATTACATCCAAAACATGTAAGATTCATGAGACATTTGGTGACTGTGGAAGTCGTTTGACTACAGTGAACTTGTTTTCATGTTCGAGGAGCCATTTTGAAATCATTTGGACTTGACATGGTGTGTCATCCTGCTGGAAGCAGCCATCAGAAGACAGGTACATTTTCATAATAACAGAATGGACTCAGGTAGACTGTAGCATTAAGCAGTTAAAGTAACAAAGTACAAATCCTTCATTACAGTACTCAAGCAGAATTTTCAGGTATCTGTAGTTTCAGTTACTTTTACTCCCCAGATTTTAACACAAATGTAGTTTCTACTTCTTATTTTTTCAAGCTTGTTGCTTTTGGTTTAAGATTCTTGTGTGCAGTTATTGTTGCTCAAAACTGACATAAAATTCAGTTTCAAAAATCAAACAGCAACCGCTCTTTGAATGGTCATGTCACATTAATCCCTCTTTTTCGTTAACTGACACAAGACAGAAGCCAATTATCAGTGCCGGAGTAGACAAACGAGAAAGCATGGCGGCAGAAACTGGAGACGGAGTGATATGGACAGAAACTGAGGTTTTGGACTTGATTAGCATATGGGGAGACAATTCTATTCAAGCTAAACGACTCCGTGTCCATATATACCTCTGCACAAAGGTAGCAGCCACTGCTCCAAACAAGGCCATTGTTAAAGCACGGGCTCTTTTTTTTCACAGTGTCCTTCTTTCTCTAATTAATTTGTCAAAATTCTGTCGGTTATGACTGTGCAGAAATTGATAGATTGCTGCAACAACACCTACTAGCTCTGGCCGCCATTTTTACTTCTGTAAACAGAGCGTGTTGTGTGTGACGTCTTCTTTTGCGCATGCGGGCCGCTTTGAGGGCCGTAAACCGTTCACACTAGAGCGCGTTTGCTGTCACATTTTATTTGTAGTGTGAACAACCAGACAAAAAAATTGGATTTGATCAAAAAATCTGAATTGAGCATTAAGACCTGCAGTGTGAATGTAGCCTGATTTTCCTGTGTAGGTGTGGATGCAAACTGACTGTAGTGTATATCAAACCATCAAACAGTTCACAGGAGGGAAGTGAAGTAATTTCAAACTTGTTATGGTGAAAAAAATGTGATTCTTCAATACTTTTAACATGTTGTCATCCAGATTTTTAAAGCTACAAAAGATGAGTCCACAATTGAATGATAAAAACACAATTCATACACAAAGTGACCTCTGGTAAGAAAAATCGTGTGGCTTTCTCTTTGCTCTGATTACATGCATTTCTAACACTGGTTCACAAGTCACACTTGATGAAACCTATTCACACACTACCAGATGACACACATCAGATTTGGCTAGAGCAGTAACATCTGCAATGTAGGCAACAGCAAATAGATCGATTTTTTTATTGCTATTGTTTTGCTCTGCCTGTTTACGCTCATTATAATTCATGATGAAAAAGTCTGTAGTAGGAGATATTATTTTATTATAATATTAATAAAGACTTTCAGTTAACTTTGCACAAAAAATGGTAAATGTCCAAGCAACATCCATACAGTTACTTTTTAATTTTTACTTTATGACATTTCAGAGCTACTTGCTTTTTTTCACTTTTGTTTCAATAAAAACTTTTTAC